TAACTGGAAGTGCATTAGGATGAAAATGACTACACTTGCTTCGACCTAAAAGAAAACTAAGTAAAGGGGAGTGAAGATTTCCGTCTTCTGGGTTACTGCGCTGTGTAGTCTGGTCGATATTAACTAACGTTTCAGAGGTAATAATGCCTCCGTCATCAGGGCGATATCACAGCGCAACAACCCAGAAGACAGAAATCTTCATACTCACCGCTGTGAAATCCTCAAATCTTACATAAAGGGAAGTGGTAAAAATTACATAACGACCAGTCATAATTAGTACTTTTTAAGCAATATTCCGTTTTGCGTTAAAGCCGAAAAGGATTCTAAGGACAAACCTCTATTCTGTACTGCAGAAATAAATTCATAAAAAGGTTTGATAGGAAAACATCTAGAAAAATAAAAAATGTTGGGACATAAGTTTTATGATATTAAAAACGACGACTACAAGACGATACAAGGAGTATGCCAAGAGACAGGACAGCAGATTGTTTTACTGATGACATCACCCACCGAAGACTTGAAAAAACTAATTCGCTGTTACAAAGCGATATATATCGTTTGTAGCATCGAATATGTAAACTTACTGAAAGTTGTTGTTTCTGCATCGCGGAGCGGGAAAACCGACTCGCGGCCCACAGGTACTGACCCTGGATTCATCAGATCCCAGTGCTTCACTACAAATATAGCTGCACCTAACGGCGAGCATCCACTTGAAGGCGACATCACTAACCTACCCCTGGTGTCCAAGATCGTGATGAAGGCGACGACCTGATTATGATTCTCTGGAAACCCGCCAGAGTGCGACCTGGGGCAATACAGGGTGGCCAACCCTAGGTTCGTTTCAAGATTTACTTACATACCTCACACAGGTCAGACAAATTCTCAGACTTTTCGTGTTTATTTGCGTTTGCATTGGGACAAGGACAAGAGTTTAAGGAGTGGAGCTCTGCATCGCCAACCCTAATTTTGGAGACCGTCGAAACGTTCCAAATATTTTATATTGGTTCTCCAAATGAACAAAACACCGGTTGTTTCATCCCAATTAACTCCATGATTGCTTGTATTTCCTTTCAATCAATAAAGCCGACGTTTCTGCAATGAACATTTCTGATCTGGAAGTGACAGTAGCGTCATTTAATATAATCATAAAATTGTGAATGTAACATTTTCGAACCTCTTACACTGGCAGAAACGTTTAAGGAAATATTCTAAATTTTTAACTTCTTTATAAACTTGTCATTACATCATATAATTAATCATGTATAAACCTTGCTATCAGTTTTGTAAATGTGGAAGCATTCTAGAACTCCTTGTTCTTTATGTTGTCACATGTGCAGGTTACATATCTGTCACGAGACTTATTGCGTCATTCTTACTTATGGGCGCGGTCTCGCTATTGGTCGCATTATAAATGTGGAGCGAGTTCAGATTTTTATACGTCATTTCCAAATGAACAGGGATGCTAACAATCAGCCATTAAACTGTTGTTAGTACCAAGCTGGCCAAGATCCCAAGCTGTAGAATCCTTTTGTTGTACTGAGCTCATTCCTCGGCACCATTCAGAAATTCCACGGGTAGATCAACTCGTTGAAAAGTCTGGGCGTGGTGAGATATGGTCACACCAACAGAAGTACTTCAAAGTGTAATAAATAAGAGGGCTGAAATCTGCTAGCCGAAATATTTTGGTAATGACTGAATTTAGTGTGGGGTCTAGCAACATGCCACTAATACTAAGAAAAAGGATATGTAAATCATATAAGTTGATCTGCCCAGAAAAAAAATGGAGAAAGTTGTTATGCAAAAAAGAGGAAACAGCACGAAGAAATACAAATTGCACAAATAAAACACATCCGCTTTGATTTATCACCCGAATAATATTTATTGTGAATATTTACCAGCTCCAATTTCTGCAATGTTATCATAATGTTTCACCATCATACATCTAAAAACACTCGACGCTTGAAATTTCACGTTAGATCACGCAGAATTGAACGTACATGTGGTGAGTTTCGTAACGGAGTTGTGGTACGCGCATACCAACGATGCATCCAAACAGAAGCGTCCTACAAGCGGTTTATTTTTGATCGCAGTGCCAAACTGAGGACGCAGTGTTAATCTACCCACTTGCCAAGAAAAGTGTTTTAGTTCCCACCAAATTAAATTAGTTACGTGGAAAACAGTACGGCTGCCGATAAATCGCCAGATTCAGATGTTTACTGTCTTCCCATTGCAAAATAGTCTAGACGCAAGACGACAAAATTTGACACTAAACAAATAATTTTGTGCGTGGCCTTGGAATCAATATTATGGGATAAATGTGCGTGTAGACAATATGTAGCATATAATAAAACAAGCAGAAAACAGTAATATCATCGGTTTCTTTATAAAAAAAGTATTCTAAAGAAAAATTACATTATATGTAGCCTATATGAAAAGTTTCCATAAAAATTCCAGTATTTATAATTTAACTAATTAACCTGCTCCTGGAATGCAATAAAATAGACGCAAGAAAGAAATTAACTGCAACTTCCTGTTCTGAATAATGTTTTGCCTTCAGCATTATTTTGGTATGAGCTACATTTGAACATTGGCATACATTAAGCTATAATTTAGCTGATATTTCATGCTCTCACAGTGACGAGTGTAAAGATGACTGTGTTCTGGGATGTTGCAACGTGTAGTCTGGTAGAAACTGACGACGTTTCAAATGTGCTCACTGCCTCAATCGTCAGGGCGATGATCTGTCTAACTTGTCAAAAGCATTCCAGTAATCGATGAGTATTTCCTGTCTGGCCTAGTAAGTAATTGTTCTGCAGTACAAAGGTTGCCACATACGACCATAATTCTGTTCAGTCATTAATTAATAACAAAACCACTTAACCTGGATACTTACTGTAAACCTTGTTCAATAAATAAAACAAGTGAAATTAATCTCGCACATCACGTAATGTGTGTCATTTGCGCGAGGCTATAGTTTGTTGTTTATGATTCATGTCTGACACTAGTTCCTGTTGACGAAGACTGGAAACTAAAATAAGTACAGATAAAATTAAATTTTACTGACACTTAAACAATAAAATGTATTATATCAGGATACATATCCTCTTGGTGATACGAATGTAGATTTCGAAAATGAATCTGCGACTGTCTTTAAATTAGAGTTCAGCAATGCATTTTCATAGATTTAGATAACAATTTCGTGATATGAATTGAAATTTGTTATAATTTTCCCCGCTCTGTCTGGGCGATATATGCTATAATACCTTCAACGAAGTTAAAACAATATCCTTCCAAATTCTTATCCACTCACCAGTAATGATCATTTTATTTCAATTGACGCAATATATAACGTCTGCCTTGAAAACTATTTAAATAACATCAAATTAATGTATAAGTAAAATTAAACAACTAATCTAACCTAATAATTCTTAAATAGTCTACCACAACACCAGCCTTTACTCAGGTAACACATCGGGATCAGCTGAATTATTCCGAAAGAAGAATAACATCACAACAACGACGCCTTTACAGACGACAGCGTACCCGAATCGCATAATTCTTTCTACCAAACGTATCATAATTTAATGGACAAGCAAAACCACGGAAGAACACAAAATCGAAGGAGTCGTCTAAACCGACGGCAGCATCCCATTTGGTCTCGACGTAAGCCATGAGCAACTATTTTACAGTATGCTGGCAGGAGCCTATACAATACAACAAAATTTAAAGACGCATTATCCCTCATTTGAAACACCTCCAGCCTAAACTAGTCTAATTTAACCCTTACCAAAAGCTGTGCCAAGTTAACCAGTTGTATGCAGCACACAAATATTCACGTCCTCATGCATACGTATAGATAGGAGGAGTCAAGAAATGGAATCATGTAAGCGAAGTCTTAACCGACTTTGATACTTCTAAATCGATAATTGCTTTGTTAAATTGTTTAGAATAGAAGGGAAAAGCCGAAACGACACAGAACTCGACCGCGACACCTAAACCGACGTTTGTGTTGAATCTAGCTCCGGCCTTTGGCCATAGCACACGTTAGGGCTACAATGACGTCAGTAGATTATTAGAAGTACGTGTTAAATCCAAGAGAAGGATAGTAAGCCTTTCTTTAGCGGCACAGCAACTCACAATTTGACGGTAATCGGCGTGTGTAAACTGAAGTTTATTAGTGTTTTCTGTTCGATACCTGAATAACAAACTGAAATGAAGAGTGGTTCATAACATGCAATGCAGATATGAACGCAACACGTTTTGCTGCCAAATTTTTACTTAGAATAATGTTTCAAATTAGTTTCTACCAAAATGTAATAACTTTATTCCAATTGAAATACATATAACTATATTTTAAAATAATTAATTATCTCCTATGTGCAGACAGTAGTCTACAGAAGGAAATATTTGCGAACGGTTTAAATTGAAATATACTAAGAAACTATGGCATCACTCATGAATAATTATCATTTGACATTCCAGTCAACTCAATGTTTCTATTACAAACTTGACTGATAGATATGTTTCTGTCAGTCAAATTGTATTTATACAGACAAATCTATAAGATAAATATCCTATTCGAAATATTAAGACAGACATAAAATTATGTTCAAAACATAATATGCCTATGTCTCTTTCTTGTGTACATATTAACTCTTATCTGCAAGAAGTTTACCTTCTGGGGAAGACAGAATTAAGAACTTGCCTCGATTATGTCTGACAGACGTAAATCTTAGTCCTAGGAGAAAATCATAAAGACGATAAAGAAAGTTTATGTAGGTAAGCTGCATTCTACTCTCACGCCCAGTGGTGGCCGTTCCGCTACCAGCTTCCTTAGCTTAATGTTTTAAACGTGATTAGAACAAGGAGGAGCATGTGTGAGACAAACATCACAGATGGTGTAAATGAGAAATGCATATAAATATTCGGTCAAGAAACCCCCAAGAAAGTGATCAATCACTTGAGACAGCTACGCGTAGTTGGAAGGATGGTTTTAAAATGCATCTTAAAAACAGCTGTGAGAGTGTGGGCTAGACTAAACTGACTCAAGATATGGACTAGCAGTGAACTCTTTGAACACAGTAATGAAATTTTGGGTTAAATAAAACGCGGATAATTTATTTTCCAGCTATGCGACAAGCTTAATAAAGTGATATTCTAGGTTACCATGGCGGAAAGTATGAACATGGTGTTGTGCCTAAGCTTGGAACACATTTACCGACGATCGCCCTGGTGATGGAGGTAACAGGTACGTCTGAAACGTCCGTAAACTTCTACCAGACTACATGGTGCTACAACCCAGAAAACAGTCATTTTCGTAAAAGTAGTTCTGCTTAGTGGAATTACGTATGTTACAAAGAAGATTTAAGTTATATCGTATGCTTAACTGACAGGTTTCATTAGTCATCATTGCTTAACTCATCTTAAATGTCGTGTATATCAAATTTACCTTAAATTATGAGTGATCAACCTGAGGTAACTTGGGTGTAATGGATGTTCACAAATCAGCAGATAATCATTGTGCTATTATTTTATCATAAACACAAAGCCATTTAACGCCACTGTTTCATACATTCATTTATTACCAATCAACGAATTACCGTGTTCTAGTGAGACACGCTTCAAGGAAAACTGGATTCAGTTGACATTACAGCTGGGTTGTCATTCAGTCGATACAGCCATCGTTTTCCTACATATCACAAAATAAGTTTTCAAAGTCTAATGGAAGTAGTACGAGTATTGTGAAGTGGAAGTTACGATCTTGGTCC